CATACTGACACTTTCCTTTTATCCCTTCCGGAATGTTTCTTCTGACCCTTGAAAATCAATTTAGGAAAGGAAGATAAACAGTGACGCTAATACAGTCCTGATGTCTCTTAAGAGGTGAATGGTTTCTTTGAGGGTGTACACTACCTGTTTCCATTCATCTCCTTTGCTTCTCTGCCCTTCCCACCTCCAGTCCTTAAGTGAATGTAGTTTGAATAGTTCCCACAATCCCTTTCCATTAGAAAAACAGGTCTTAATCTACTGGAAAGTTCTTCCTGCTTATGTTAGTTTTATCCCTATCCATTCATTCCTGATGAGTACCAACAAATTGTGTGGGGGAGGTTGGGTTGGCAGGGTTTGGAGATAATGTGCAAGAATCATCTTATTGTGAAGGTCCCAGTGTATTTAGAGGCCATCTGGAACTACGCCACATTTAAATAGTTGTTCACTATCAGTAAAGGAGTATTTATGCTTTAAATTTAAATTGTTAAACATTGAAGCATTCCAAATGAAGGCCAAGTATAAGCTGCCAACATTTAAATTTACCAATGATTTCCAGATGCCACGTTGTGCAGAGAGAAGGAAAGCAACCTTTCAATCACTTATTGGTATTTTGTCTGCATGATTTGGACTGTTGTTAGAGTGGACATTTTGTTTTATGCACGAGGTAGGAGAGGGCAAGAGGACAATTTCTAACTTAAATTTTTGAGCTTGTCCTATCGAATCTGTCGACTTTCTATCACTGCAGCTTAATCCATACGGAACTTCTAGTACCTGGGTTTGTGGCTGCTCCAGCCAATGGCATGAGTTGGATTGGCTGTTTTAAAAAAGTGAAGCTCTGTGGACTTCTAAATTTTTTTAATTTTTAAAAATGTTTAATGATTTTGAGAGAGAAAGCAAGTGGGATGAGGGAAGGACAGAGGGAGAGGGAGAAAGAGAATCTTAAGCAGTTTCACTTCCCACATGGAGAGCCTGCTGCAAGGCTCAGTCTCATGACTCTGAGATCATGACCTGATCTGAAATCTAGAGTCAGACATTTAACCAACTGAGCCACCCAGGTGCAGCTGGATTTTTTTTTATTTTTAATTGGATAAGAACTGCATAACACTAATAAAAACAGAGAACCAGGTATTCAGTTTATCCTCTGTGTCTGAAAGAGTTTTCATTGGAGTTATTTTGGCATTGCTGATCTGTAGCTACATGCAGTTTTTATTGGCATTTACCCGCTTTTGTTTGGAGTATAAAGCAACCTTAAATACAAATTTGGACAATAATTTTTAAAATGTTATTTTAGATTCAAGTATATCAATTTCTTCACTGTGGAAAACAGCTTCTAATGTGGGGTATCAAGTCTTGTTTTGATTTTAAGTGTTTGCCCTCTATTTTGTTCCAATAAAGTAAAACTTGTGATAATTTGAAAATATTATTGGAAAAGAGGTATGGATTGATTTTGAAAAAGTATAATTTGTCTCAAGAGCATGTTATAATTGGAGCTAAGGTACTAAAATAGTGACAAATAAAAGAGCTCAATAATCCCATAATGAAAAAATTAGTGATTTTAATGAGTTCTGATATTTGGTTGAAAATGAAACTTTAAAAAGACTTAAGGTTCTTGAGATAATTTTCTTAAATATTTTGTCATCTTGTGTGAGTTTTTCAACCCCATTCTTTATGAGAAAAAAAAAGTGTTTCTGAACACAAACTCAAAGTCTTATTTAGTTTTCAAGTTTATTGATATAAATAAAAGTTTTCTTTGATTCGAGACATTTATCGATACATTTGCCTTTTGAACATTCTAATTACGAGAGATTTTTATGTAGCTGTCACCTTTGGGCTTCAATTTTCCATTCTTTCTATTAAGGAAAGCATTTTTTTTTTCTCTCTTTAATTTGAAGATTTAGTTGGCTTTATGAAATGATTGATGAATCAGGCAGCATCTCATCTAGCCAGGAGAAGGGAAGCTCCCAAGAACAGTTTCATAAAGGGAAGGGAAATTTGTTCTTGTTCATGTGTTCCATGTTATATGGTTATTCTCCCTTAGTATTAGAAAATCCTGGCTGTACTTATTTCCAGTGTAAAAATCTTATCCATACACATTGTTTTGTTCCATTAGAGAAACTTTCCTGGCTGTGACTCGTGCTACTAAGAATTATTTCTAGTTACTGATTATTGTTAAGTATTCTCCAGTTTGAACATTTATTGAATTAATTGAGTTAAAATCACTAATTTGAAGTAACCATTACTGTAGACATGTGCTTGTGGTTAATCCCCTTTTTGAATCCTTTAGGCCTTTTGAATTACTTTATTTTATAAGTGCTCACATATAATACATGTTGCAATATAACCCTAAAACTTCTGTATAATGAAGAGTTAGTGCTACTTGCTCAGTCCCAAACAATGCTGGTGCCTTCCCAGCAGTTTCTCTTCTACCCACTTCCTGTCCCTTGGACCAGATGCTCAGAGAGCACGAAGAGGTGTTAATCCATTGACAAGTATCCAAGAGCAGAATCAATTTGCTGGTAGACCAGTAGGTCATCCAGTGGTCCCGTGTTCTGTTTTGTACTAGTAGTGGCTTTAAAGAATAGTTTACAGATGAATAGATTTTACTGCCACATTGATGAGCTCAAAGGTTTGAGCTATGGCAGGAATTCTCTCCATCCTGGCTCATGATAATCCGGCCCAGGATTGAGAATTACATACCAGTCCAATACTGGGACTTCTAGTCAGGCCTCCAGTCCATATAGTAGCATGTGTCTTTTCTGTAGCTATGGTAATATTTTTAGAAATTCATTCTAAAGAATTGGTTCAAGAGTCAGTTATTGATGTTAACTATTAAGGTTTTGGCTGTAATATGCTTTCCAGTAGTTGAAATACAAGCATTTGTACAAATGGAAATTTAGAAAACCCTATGACCAGTTTGGGGAAACAAACTAGGAAAGAGGACATCTTTTATAATAGTGTCTTATGAGTGTGAATGTTAGTGTATTTATACTTGCCCAGAGATCCGTACAAGTGAAAATAGAAAAAAACAAAGTTTTTAAACCTTTTAATAGTGAGAATTTTTCAGTTGGTGGAAATCTTTCCCAGAGTATCATTTCCTTTTTCTTTCCCATTTGTCTCTAATTACCAGCTCTTTGTCTTTCAAATGTAGACATATAAGATTGTTAGGTTTTTCTTTAAAAAATTGCCTTCCAAACTAGTATTTTCACAGTTATCCTTTTAAGCTTATTGTTTTAAAAACAGTAATAAATGTAATTAAAATATTTACCAAAATTATCAATATCATGGTTTTCAACTAATAACAAATTAAAATCTCTGGACTATTTTAACTTTTTAAAAATATAGTTTTTGAGCAAACATTAGCCTGATGTTGATTTAAAAGAAAGATCATTAATCTCCAAACTATGAAAGTAAATAAATGATAGAAAGAAGGAAATTTTTCTTAACTTTAAAAGATTAGTCTTATATTGTCATTATTTTTTGTTCTTTTTATTTATTTGTTATTTATTTCTTGTTTATCTGGTTAGTGATATTCAGTGTAAAAGTCTTAAATCAGTGTATACAAGACAGATGCTAATTAGTAAATTTTACTTGGTATGAAGCACTGTAGCAGGCTATAAATTTCAAGTAGCAAAATTAAATGTGTTTGTATTTGGAATATATGGAATGCCTCATTTCGTGGGGAGAGAGGAAAATGAAAGAACCTGCTTCTGTTCCTTCTGCAAGTGCTTATTGTCATGTTACATGGAATACATCTTTTGTATCTCTCTGTGCCTCTGGCTTCTCTTCTGTAAAATGGGCCCAAGAATTTAATTGCCTGCCTTCATCCCTTTCAAGAACATTGAGGACAGATACCTTGAAGTCTTTGGAAGACAAAATGCCACCTTGTGTATTTTTTGATATACTAACTTGCCTTGTAAGTATGTACTATGTGTTGTACACAGTGGCGCGGTGTGACATTGTGAACTTTTTTTTATGAGAAAAAAGTTGTTTGCATGCCTCAATGTTAAACTATAACTTCATTATTCATGTTTTATATTTTTTGAACTTGATTCTTTCCTCTCTCTCTTGTGCAGTGGGAACCATCTCTCTGAGTGTCTCCATGCGCTCTACTGTTCCTGGGGCTGGGGGCGGGAGCAGTGGGTTGTGGGAGGTGGAGGTACTAGGTTTTTGTGTTACTCTTTTAGAAACATGCAGAGAAGTGGTACAGGTGGGTTAGGGGTAAACCCCAAGTCTGCCGTGAACAGAGAAGGGAGCCTCATCAGTTTAGAAATAGACAAAAAGCCCTCTCTCTCTTCATTTGTTGAGTTTCTTCACCATGTTCTTACTGCCCTCCATTCTGACCCCTGGGGTGGAGAGTCAGGTAGAACTTTTTATTCTTAACTATAGAAAATGTGGTGATGGGGGAGATTCCAGCATAGGATTTGGGAGGCTGGGAATGTAGTCTGTGTGCTGTGCCTGCACTGATTCCCATTGACCTGTTCTGGACCATTTTCCATCTAGTGAGTGAGGATGCTGGAGGGTGGGTGGGGGGTAAGGTTGCCAGGGAGTGAGGAGAGCTGTTCTTGCATTGAATACCTAGATTCCATACAGTAAAGGTATCTGTGAAGCTGATTATTCACACAAAAACTGTTTCAAATATAGCTCGTTAGGCTTCTCTTTATATTTGCATGTGAGGGTTAATTTTCACTGCTTAGGAACTTCTGTTATATAACTGCCAACGTCATCAGCGGATGCTTGTGGTTAAAAATCCCTGTGTCCTTTAAAGAATTCCTAAGTGCTGGTTTTTTTTTTTTTTTTTTTTTTTTAAGATCCTAAGTGCTATTTTGTTTTTCTGTGATAAAAACTGTTCTCATAAAAGTCTAAGGAAGTTGATAATTTTTATGTCTGGTTAGTATTAAATGAAATTTGCTTAGCAATTTTTCAGTCTTGTGGTAGTGGTTTTTCTTGGGTTTCTAACATTGTTTTATGTTTTTGTGACATCTTTTGTCATTCTTTTCCAGAGAATTCGGTCAACAGTGGATGAAAAAGAACAAAAACAGCTTCTTATGGATTTGGATGTAGTAATGCGGAGTAGTGATTGCCCGTACATTGTTCAGTTTTATGGTGCACTCTTCAGAGAGGTAGGAATAAACAATTTGGGGTTTTAGCTGATGAATAACTATCTCATTGGAATAAATAAGAGGATGGCAGGCTTAGATTCTGATCTTCATTAATTGCCAGACGTTAGCAATAAGCTGATCTCTGAGTATTTTAGTATATAGGTGTGAGATGGCACACATTCATTTCCAGCACTGATTATTCCTTGGTTAAGGGGTGAATCTCGGGCTTTTAAAATACATATTTATGGCTGTCATTTGTGAATCCGCATATTTCCTTTCTTCACTTATTGTTTCTGTTCTTTAAGAACCTGACAAATCCACTAACTTCTGAATAACCCTTTGCCATAGGTTAAGATTTTTCTGTTTTGGCTTTGAACTCCCTCAGTGTCCCCTCTCCCCCTTTAAAAACTTATATTTATTTCTGTCATTAATTGTATCTGCTTTTAATGGAAGCATTTACTCACCCTCATCAGAACCCTCAGTGCAACCCATATGGAAATTCACTAGTTATACTAGAAATTCTTCTAGCTAATCTTGTTATCTGGATTTTTGTGTAGAGACTGCATGGTCTCAGTGTCATGTGTCTTCTTTTGGCCCCTGGTTATTCTGTGTCCTGACACAGGTATCACTTCTGCCTCTGGCTGTCAAACCCGTGTAGTCCTTCCAGTCATCTCATTGCCTGAGGCAGGGAAGGAAGGAATTTAGAGCAGGGGGTGTGGGTGGAGCTGGAGCTGGGCCCCAGTATCCTGGCCAGTCCTCACACATTTGTGATATTTACTTAGGTGAGTGGGACTTCAGCTGAATGATCCCTTACACACTTTTAATACTCTTTATAAAACACCGTTGTCATTTTGAAAGTGTTAGGATGAGCTTGTGCTAGTGGGGCCGTTATGAGCTGGTGAGAAGCCCCTCCCTTCTTTTTTTTCTGGGACTGGATCACAAAGCGGAGATGTAGCCTTGGGGGTTTTGTTTTATTTCCTGACTTGAAAAATACTGTGTTGTAAGACAGGCCTGACTGTAACTTGACTAGAAATGTATGAAGTCTTAAAATTGGAGAAGACCTTTGAGCTTAGTCAATTAATTCCTTAGTACATCTGTTTTTATTGATTTGTTTTTCTGTACTCTTTATAGGTGACTCTAGTAGGTGGAAGGGTCCATTGCTTTGTTGAATCAGTAATTAATCACTGTTAATTCTAGACTCCTCTAGTTTCTTTGTACTTCTGTCCTTGTACTTGTTATGACTCGAATATTCGTTTTTGTGACTGGGTACACGGGATTTGTGAACTTCCTTCACCATTGCACACCAGTAGTACGTTGTGACAGTATACATCGTATGTTCAGGAACATACTCTGTCCTGAACCTAAGTGTATCATAAAGTCGTGCTGTCTGTAAGATCATGAATCTGGAACTTTTCTTTATGTTCCACAAGAGTCTTGCCATCTCCTCCTCCCTTCTCCCAAACCATTGATTTAGTCTTTATAATCACTAAATCTTCTGGCCATTTTATTCTTCAGAGCTTATGCAGAGCAGTACTTACTTAGGGATTGAACTACAGTCTGTCCCAACTGGATTCCACAGTCTGCTTTTCCAGCTCTGTCATTCTCTGCCACTTGAGGCTCCTACTGGCCCTATCTTAGCTGTATTTCAACTCCATTGAGCTCAGGTACTCCAGCCTATTTCTCATGTTCATTGTTTAGTCATTCCTTTAGGCAGTATTAGATGTATAACCCCAGCCTACTCAGTGTAGAAGTCTGATTTTATGAAAAGAAGGCAGAGTAAGTGACACCCAGAATTGCAAATATTGGAAATAACACAGAAAGCTTGGAGTAGTATCTGAACAGTGTCTTCATTGTTTCTTCTGAGAAGCAGGGTAAAATGCAGTGTCAATATCTCAGGGAGGTGGAAGGGAGTTGAGATAATGCAGCTGTAAGCACAAACATCTGTCGACTATTCTACAGTTTTCATATGTATTCTCTTTGTAATGGTCTCAGGGCATTCGGGGGCATCATTCCCCTTCTCCCTCTCTAAGTTAATTAGGAGGCTGAGGTTTGAGGACTGTTTGGATGGGAGTCACATAGTCACATAGTCACTATAGTCACATAGTCACATAAAGAAGTAGCAGAGATGGGACTTTAGGGACAAAAATCTCACTGTTCTTTCTGTTATAGAACAAGTGGTCCAGGGATGAGGAACTTTCAGCTTCATTTAAAAAAAATAATTACTTTTTCACAGGACTACAATTTTTGAGTATGATCGGATGGAGGCTGAAGATCTGCACAGTTAAGTTGTATAAAGTTGCAAAATGCCCTGACAGGTGAACATGAACTCTCTCCACCCTCCTGCAAGAAGTAATAGGTACTTTCTGGATTAAAAAAAAAAAAAAAAGTTTAGAAGCCAAAAGTTTACCTTTAAAGAATGTATAGGCAGAGTGTGTTTCCTGAAGTTACAAAGGTTAAAAATATTAAACAGACTTAATAAGGGTTTAGAGAAACATTTTTCTTTTGAGATTGATCACTTAAAAGAATCTTTTTGGCAACGTGATCTTCAGTTCTAGTAATAGACACACAATTCTGGGTTTATGAAAGGAAAGACTGGAGATGAACATATGTAATCTGGACTCTCCACCTAATCACCACTATGAGGAAGACAAATGACTTTTAATTACTGTCCCTGTGAGGAACCCTCCAGGACATTTCGTTTTATCATACGTATGCCCGTAAGACATCAGTTTGTGTTTTGCTTCAGTCAGCTATCAATCACAGAGCTCGTGAGATGTTAGTTTTCTTACCCTGGCAGCTCCTCTGTAGAGATGAATCTTGCTCTTGGGTAATCACTGAGCCTCTGCAAGTTCCATAGTTTTACTCAGAGCAATGACTGAATAATATTTAATACATAAGTTGGAAACTTGTTTTTTGCCATTGTCTCCAACCATTTATACTTCTTTCTACAATGGAGCTGAACTCAAATAAAAACCCAAAGTAACTTGGATTTGATGTCGGTAAGTTATTAAGACATCTAATTGCACAGGTTTCTAAACTCATTTTCAGACTTTGAAGACAGAAAAATGAAGAGCTTCACAATATTGAACAATAAACATAACTTGTAGCCTGTAACTTGCCTAAAGGTCCACACCTTCCGTTTATCAGAACTGAAACCTAGAATCACTTTAAAAATGTCCTTTAATATATAGATTTTCAGAATTTAAAAGCACAAAAGCCCTTACTTTGAGTATCTTTGGAGGTTGGAGAAATTCTAGTATAGGAGATACTATTCTGAGCAACTGGTGACTATAGCTGGTCATTGGGTTATGTAAAAGGCGCTGATATGAGCTGAATTTAGTGCATTCTTCCCTTTCTTCCCCTGCTACTGCTTATGTTCTTTCCTTCCTCTTACATAGTTTAAGCACAGCCTTATTGAGGGAACATCGACATATGATAAAACGCACGTATTGAGAGGGTACAGTTCCATATGTGTGAACAAGTTGTACACCTGTACAGTTATCACCAATCAAGAGGGTGGACATTTCCATCACTCCCACTCCCTGTGCCCATGTCCTCTCTGCTCCCACTGTGCTGCTTTCTGCCTCTGTAGGTAGATGTGCATTTTTTAGAGTTTTATGTAAATGGACTAGTGCAGTATGTATGCTTTGTCTTCCTTACTCTACATAATTGTTTTTCAATTCCTTCTGTGGTGTGTGTCAATAGTTTGTTCATTTATATTGCTGAGTAGTGGAAGTGGTATTCCATGGTGGGGATATGCTATGTACAATTGGTTCACTCCTCCTGCTGAGGGACTGTTGGATTGTCTCTGGTTTTTGTCTGTTACAAATAACACTGTTGTGAGCATTTGTGTACAACTGTGTGAGCGGACATGTGCTCTCATTTCCCTTGGGTAAATAGCTGGTAGTGGAATGGCTGGATCATATGGTAGGTGAATATTTAACTTTTTGAAATTATTCTCCAAAGTGGTTGTACTATTTTCAACCTTCACCAGTAATGTATGAGACTTCTCTTTCTTCCACATCTTTTCTAATACCTGGGATGGTCTTTTCAACTTTTAGCCATTGTCATTGGTGTAAACTGGAATCTCACTGTCTTTAAAAAATTTTGTTTAAGGATTTATTTATTTTAGAGAGAGGGTGCACACATGCATGTGTGAGAATGAGTGGGGAGAGGGGCAGAGGGAGAGGAAGAGAAGCAGATTCCCACTGAGCCAGAGTCCCGCAAGGAGCTGGATCCCAGAACCCTGAAATCCTGACCTCAGCCCAAGTTAAGAGTTTGCTACTTATTTGACTGAGCCACCCAGGCACCCCTAAATTTGTTTCTTTGATGGATTGTGATGTTGAAAGCTTTTCAGGTGCTTGTTTACCAACCATATGTCTTCTCTGATGAAGTTCCTCTTCCAACTTTATTTTTTAAAAAGCTTTTTTTGTTTCTTTTTGAGTTTTGGGAGTTTTAATTTTTATTTATTTTTTAAAAAATTTATTTATTTATTTGAGAGAGAGAGAGCACAGGGGGAAAGAATAGTGGGAGAGGGAGAGAGAATCTCAAGCAGACTCTTCACTCAGCATGGAGCCCAATGTGGGGCTGGATCTCATGACCCTGAGACCCTGATCTGAGCCAAAACCAAGAGTCAGACACTTAAATGACTGAGCTATGCAGGCGCCTCTTGGGAGTTTTTTTAAAAAAACATATTCTGGATATAAGTTTATTATCAGATATATGATTGCAAATATTTGCTCCCCCATGTGTGACTTTATTCATTATACTCTTAGCAGCATTTTTTTTTTTTTGGAAAAGTGAAGGTTCTTAATACTGTTGTAGGCCAATTTGTTGTTGTTGTTGTTGTTTTAAGAAAAAATGTATTGTGCTTTTGATATTGTATGTAAGGAATCTTTGCTTAACTCAAAGTCACTCAGATTTTCTCTTATGTTTTCTTATAGACTTATAATTTCAGATAACATTTATATTTATCATCCATTTGGAGTTCGTTTTTATATGGTGGTAGGGAGGTATGGATT